ATCCATCCATCCATCCATCCATCCATCCATCCATCCATCCATCCATCCATCATCTGAAGCAGAACCAAAGAAGAACCCAAACATACAAAAGGTGAACATTAAAACTTCATGGGGTGTCCTGTGTACCTTTTCTTCCTGTTGCCATGGTAATGTTTATTATTGGACTATTGTCAGATTAGACTTCTGTGATGTCACCACTGACCTGAGGATAAACAAAGAAACATGGTGGTGAACATGGTGTTAGAGCATCATCTGCTGGGTAGACTGAAAAATGTTTATTCAAACAGTAACAAAGTGCTTCAGTGCTGTTTGGACATTACTTCATAATCTCTTCATCTTTTTGTCAGGAAATGCCTCCTCAGTCAGAGAACCTGCAGCACATATCATTTAGAAATGGAGTCTGTCCTGGTAACTTATACAAAATATAGTTTTAATTATAAACCCATAAGATGTTGTGAGAACAACCATCTGCTGTTAGAGTTTAGTCACAGTAGCAGCAGATTTATCCTTCAATAAAGGAAGTTTATGGTTTTCATAAAACCAAAGCACTTCAATACAGCAGACAGAATGTTACAAATGTTACAAATTAAAATTATTCTGGCACTTTTAAAAAAACCTTTTAAACTAACTCTGGCTTTTATAAATAGTTAATTGCTAAATTGTTTAAACTACACAATATTTAGGTTCAAGTTAAAACCACATAACAGAGTAGTCCACAGTAGCACTCTGAGATGTTCTGCCTCTGACCTCAGAGGTTTGTTACAGAACATCAGTGAACAGACAGCATGGTGAGAACTAAAGAACCCAGCAGGCAGGTCAGGGAGAAAGCTGTGGACACCTTAATGTTCTAAAACAGCATCAATGATTACCAACGATCTGCAGAATTACCAACATGTTTCCACCACATCCTGAACTAACAGCAGGGTGGGCGTTGATCAGTGGTAACTGTGTGGGAGCTGCAGAGATCTCCTTCTCAAGTGGGACCATCTAACCAGTCAGGGACATCCATCATCGGAAAAAACAAGTTCTAATTCCAGGACGACACCAGCCTGCAGACGTCGTTGGGGGTGTGATAAGCATCCAGCCATTTTCTACTGCCTCTACTTGGCAGATGGCCGCTCACACTGAGCCTGGTTCTGCTGGAGGTTTCTGTTAGAGTGATAACTATTCTGTGTTTCAAC